TTTACCCTTCATAAGGACCCTTTTCATCGAATCCGACCCGACTAAAGTGGGAGAGACAGACACCCGCTAGCCACCTTATGCAACTAGTGCATGTCAGTCGGTGGAACCAGTCTCACGTAAGAGTACGTGTAAGGTCGGTCCGGGCCGCTTCATCCCACGATGCCGCCGAATCAGGATAAGACTAGTAAAGGCAAGCATATTGAACAAAATTAACGCCCACAACTACTTTGTGTTCTACTCGTGCATAGAAACTACGCATAGACCTAGCTCATGATGCCACTGTTGGGGAACGTAGCATAAATTCAAAATTTTCCTACGTGTCACCAAGATCTATCTATGGAGTCATCTAGCAACGAGGGAGGAGTGGATCTACATACCCTTGTAGATCGCGCGCGGAAGCGTTCAAGAGAACGGGGTTGATGGAGTCGTACTCGTCGTGATCCAAATCACCGATGATCCTAGCGCCGAACAGATGGCACCTCCGCGTTCAACACACGTACGGAGCAGCGACGTCTCCTCCTTCTTGATCCAGCAAGGGGGAAGGAGAGGTTGATGGAGATCCAACAGCACGACGGCGTGGTGGTAGTAGCAGGATTCCAACAGGGCTTCGCCAAGCGCTGCGGGAGGAGGAAGATGTGTCATGGGAGAGAGGGAGGCGCCAGGGCTTAGGTATCATTGTCCTCCCTTCCCCCCACTATATATAGGGCCAAGGCAGAGGGGAAGGGCGCAGCCTTGCCCCTTCCTCCAAGGAAGGGTGCGGCCAAGGGGGGGAGGAGTCCATCCTCCCCAAGGCACCTCGGAGGTGCCTTCCCCCTTTAGGACTCTCCCTTTTCCTCTACTCTTGGCGCATGGGCCTCTTGGGGGTAGTGCCCTTGGCCCATATAGGCCAAGGCGCACCCCCTACAGCCCATGTGGCCCCCCGGGGCAGGTGGCCCCACCCGTTGGACCCCCGGGACCCTTCCGGTGTCCCGGTACAATACCGGTGACCCCGAAACCTGTCCCGATGGCCGAAATAGCACTTCCTATATATAATTATTTACCTCCGGACCATTCCTGAACTCCTCGTGACGTCCGGGATCTCATCCGGGACTCCGAACAAATTTCGGGTTACCGCATACTAATATCTCTATAACCCTAGCGTCACCGAACCTTAAGTGTGTAGACCCTACGGGTTCGGGAGACATGCAGACATGACCGAGATGACTCTCCGGCCAATAACCAACAGCGGGATCTGGATACCCATGTTGGCTCCCACATGTTCCACGATGATCTCATCGGATGAACCACGATGTCAAGGACTTAATCAATCCCGTATACAATTCCCTTTGTCTATCGGTATTGTACTTGCCCGAGATTCGATCGTCGGTATCCCGATACCTTGTTCAATCTCGTTACCGGCAAGTCTCTTTTACTCGTTCCGTAACACATCATCCCGTGATCAACTCCTTGATCACATTGTGCACATTATGATGATGTCCTACCGAGTGGGCCCAGAGATACCTCTCTGCTTACACGGAGTGACAAATCCCAGTCTCGATTCGTGCCAACCCAACAGACACTTTCGGAGATACCTGTAGTGCACCTTTATAGTCACCCAGTTACTTGTGACGTTTGGTACACCCAAAGCATTCCTACGGTATCCGGGAGTTGCACAATCTCATGGTCTAAGGAAATGATACTTGACATTAGAAAAGCTTTAGCATACGAACTACACGATCTTTGTGCTAGGCTTAGGATTGGGTCTTGTCCATCACATCATTCTCCTAATGATGTGATCCCGTTATCAACGACATCCAATGTCCATGGTCAGGAAACCGTAACCATCTATTGATCAACGAGCTAGTCAACTAGAGGCTTACTAGGGACATGGTGTTGTCTATGTATCCACACATGTATCTGAGTTTCCTATCAGTACAATTATAGCATGGATAATAAATGATTATCATGAACAAGGAAATATAATAATAACTAATTTATTATTGCCTCTAGGGCATATTTCCAACAGCAGCTAGGTCCACTATCGACATAGGCTGCTTACATGTATTCTTGAAATTACTGATAAACCGGGCTCGCAATTGGGCCCATGAACTGATAGAGTTGGCCGGTAAGCTTTTTAACCAAGTGCGGGCCGTTCCTTCAAGCATCATGGTGAAGTACTTCGCACATGCCGCACCATCCACATCAAGCATCTCCATGGCCATCTCATAGCTCTCCACCCACGTCTCTGGGGGTTAATCCGCTGTGTAATTTGGTACCTTGCGCGGGCCCTTGAAATCCTTGGGCAGGCGCACATTGCGTAAAGCGGGGACAAGGCAAGGCACCCCCAAAGAACTAGAAGTAACACCGGGTTCGACCGAGATAGTTGGACGAACCGGCGTAAGCTGCCGAGCCTGATACTGTGCGGCTAACTCGGCCTCCCTGCGAGCTCGGGCCCGGTCCACCACCTCCTGAGCGTTATCAGCACCACCCGCCGGATTGTTGCCGCGGGGTGCTCCACGTCGTTCATTGCTTGACACTGCCAGTTCATCCATACGCCTGCTATAGCTCCGGCTTGGGCGAGGGGTCGAGTGGATCCGGTCGCGGCTGTATGAGTATGCTTCCTGTTGGTCCAAAGCTGTCCTAAGAAGCTCCTTGACCCGTCGCGTCTCTATCGCCTGCGGTGAGTCGCCTTCAATTGGAATGGCCTCCAGCTGTGCAGCAGTGGCAACAAGATTTTCCATTGGGTTGGAGTAGTGACCCGGAGGTGTTGAGAGAGCCTGAGGTATAACAGTGTTTTGACGAGGCGGATTCATCGGACGGGGCTGAACCGGCGCACCGGTCCCAGGAGCTTCCGCCCGGTTCCCCTCCAGCGGATTACTAGTTCCTGCTCCTGGGGTGTTGAAAAGGTCTCTGGCCTCGAAAACCGAAGGCAAACGGGATCAGTACTTCCTCCTCATGACTTCATGTGACGCGTTCTGGTCCAACATGAGCCTGTAGGCTTGTGCGTCTAAAGCGGTCCGCTCTATGGTCATCCTGGCATTCTCAGCTGCCAGGTCCGCCTTGGCCTGGGTGATCTGTTCCTTCACCTTTGCAATCTCCGCGTTGTGGACTTCCTGATCCGCCGGATTAGCTTCTGCCATAAGCGCAGCCAATGCATCAAATAGATCTGATAGAACTTGAGCCGGCGGGCGTGCAGAGCTTCCTGCCCCGGCAGCTGTCGCCGCTGCTGAACCGGAGGTTATTGGCGCGACGGTCGAAGAATGAAGCGCTGCTTGTGTGCCGGCCATGAATATTCCAACTCGGTTGGGTAGATCAGAGGGGTCCGGAATACTGTCGCCGTTGGAACAGCCCCCAATCCGGCCATCTTGTAGCTTATACTAGTTCGGCCCCTTCGATGAAGGTAAAAGCCTACGTCTAGTTGTGATGGGATTGATGGGGTTTCGATGACTAGGGAGCAAACAAGCTTCGCCTATGTCTCGAGTTGTTGTCTGTTGTCCTTGAACCGCCGCCGGGTCGTCCCCTTATATACACCGGTGACGCCCGTCGGTTCACATAGTCCCAATACCGGCTCATAGATGTGTCCGGTTTGGTCTTTACTTATTCCTAACTTACAGTACAAGTTATATACCAACGCCGGTTTACGGCTACAGGCCTTGAACCGACTATGGGCCTTGAGCCCTCATCTGCCTTCTTGGGCTTTAACATACTTAACTACTGACGAAGTTAACCCGGCCCAGATAGGCCGGTTTACGCCCAGTAGTGATATCCCCAACAGGAATCATAGAGATCTACTTGCTCGTTCACCTCAACATCTCAGATTCGGAATTACAAGAAAGGAGGAATTCAAGAGAGGGAAGAGAGTCGTTTGCCCCTTTCAGGCCTCTACAGTTCCATGATCGTTTGGCCGTGTACTGTGATGTTTGTTTTATATATAAAGCGGGGTGTGAGCCTGTTTCAAGCGTTCTACGGTTCCACAATCCACCCAATGCCCAAAAACACTCAACAGGGAGCTCTGTACATAGCAGGGACCAACTATACTCGCTTGCATGTAGGTCCCTCATTATGACGTGACCCATTCTTTCACGGCATACTTCTGTGACGACGCAAGGGGTCTGTCTGACCTCTTGGGCTAGCAACTTGCCATACTTCTTCCATTTGGCTCTCGCCGTTCGAAGTACAGCACCCTTCCTCTTTCGTCCGGTGCAGCAATGTTGACGTATAATGTGTTGTCTAGTCTCTTTCATCAGATTGATCTTTTAATTGCATTGGCTAGAGCATACACTTCTACATGGTATCAGAGTTAAAAGGTTTTGAGTTCAAGACCTGGCTGACACAATTATATTGCAGCCACTTTCGATCCATGTTTAGGCCTGACGGAGCCACACGTGAGGAGAAGTGTTGACGTATAATGTGCTGTCTAGTTTCTTCCATCAGATCGATCTTTTGGTTGCATTAGATAAAGCATGCACTTCTACAAGTAACAACCACAACTTCGTCAGTTTTGTTAGGTTCAGTAGCAGCCACGCCTTCTTCAGTTTGGTCAGGTTCAGCGGCAGCCACGCCTTCTTCAGTTTCAACAGCTGATGCTGATGCACAAAGTCCCACCCTTGCTACAACTAAGCTCTTAATATACAGTTTTTCCTCTTGACCAGAGGATGATGGTGTAACACATCGGACTGACATTGCCAACCGACAACCGCTGCATGTACATGCCCGCCAAACACAACCTCATCGGCCACCGCTCGCCGGGAAAACTGAAATGGCAGAACCAGACCACGCGCCGACGCGCCCAAAACCATGCAACTCGGCGACCGCGAGGATTTCTTTCACGGCCGTCTTCTCTCCCTACGCATTCCCAAGTTTCTGCCATCGTTCCGGCGATGCATCCTACAAGTGGTACTTCGCCGTGGCAGGGCATGCATCATGTGCGGGCGGCGGGGCGGCCGGTCACGGCATCGTGCGAAGCCGTGGCGCGCGCGCGGTGGGCGTCGAACCGATGGCCCGGCGGGGTGTTGCTGTCGCTAGGAGGCGGCGTGCGCGCCGGCGTCGACCGCGGCGCGGCAGAACGGGCAGGAGTGCGAGGCGGCGGCGGCGCCCTCGAGCCAGGGCAGCGCGCAGCCCCAGTGGAAGCGGTGGCCGCACGGCAGGTGCGCCAGGACGTCGCCCGCGGCGAACTCCTCCAGGCACACCGCGCACTCCGCCTGCTCCGCGGCCTCCCACCGCAGCCGGCTCCACCTCATCAGCCGCCGCATCACGCCCTTCTTCGAGTACACCTCCCGCTGCACGCCCGTCGCCACCGCCGCCGACGAGCCCCCTCCGCCACCGCCGCCGCCGCTTCCGTTTGCTCTGCTCAGCTTTATGCTCCCCGTGCTGTGATGCCTGCGCAAGTGTTCCACCGATCAGTTGGGTAACCGATTAACTGAAATTTCTCTCCGCACATCGACTTGATTAACCACCTCTTGATGACGGTGTCGGGCCCGGTGCTCTTGCTCTTGAGCTTCTGGTCCAGCCGCTCCTTGGCCTCCCGGACATTGCTGTCCAGCGCCCACCCGTCCATGGCGCCGCTCCTCTGCTGCGAATTCCCACCAAAGACATCAACCAAACGTCCAAGCCAATCACTCCAATAAAAATCGTCCCGTGGCGGCGACAAGATTACCACGGACAATTCACGAGACTATCGATCGAGCTCGCCGCTTACGTACCTTATTGCCGGAATTTCCGGTGCCCACGGCGTGAGCGGCGCCGTGCCCGGCCGCGTAGAGGCAGAAGGAGAGCCGCCTGGTGCCCGCGGCCGCCTGGTCCGCCCCGGCGCCCCCGCCCTGCCACATCCGCCGCCGCCGCGCGCACTCCACCCCGGGCAACATCCCGGCCATGATGACCGAACGTTCGTAAGGACGCCGACGAGTGTGCACGTACGTGAGCCCGCTCCGAGCACGCGCGCGCGCACCTAACCGCGAGCACTGCTCATACGGGCGCAGGATATAGTCTTGGCGGCGCCGGCCATTTGAGGAAGCGGGGCAGGTGAGCGCGCCTCCATGGGCCTCTCCTCTCCTCCTCGTATGGTGCTCGATCGGCGCGGGGGACAGAGCGGTGGTGGTGTGTGGTGTGTGGTGGGGGTGGCTTTATTTGCAAGGCTCTCTCACCTCACCTCACCTCACCTTGCGCGCGCCTTTATAACCGTCGTGTCCGCGCGGCGCGCACCACAGTCCACAGCCAGCCTAATTAGTAGCGATGGATGGCGACGGGGATGGCCGGGATCGCATTATGGGATGCGGGCGGGGCGGGGCGAGGCGAATTATTGTGGGGGTCATGTCGGACCGCACGCCGCCCGCCCGGTCAATCCCGATCCGCACTGAGCCGTCCGCTCGTCTACCCTGGAGGTGCCAAAACTGTCGCTGGCACGCGCGATTCAGTCAGACACATGGAAAATCGGCCGGGTTGATCGATGGGGAGAACAGTGCTGAGATCGGAGCAACAGTGGCGCGGCCGGGCTACGGGCAGTACAATCATGGAGCGTTCCTTCCCATGCAAGCGAGAGTATGATCGGGCACGGGCAGGGAGTGAATGCGTCGGGGACAAGCTCCTCCACCCCTGTCGAGTGTCGAGTCCAACGAGAAGGACGAGGCCTCTTTCCGGGAAGCTTCCGGGCGGCAGCGGCGGGACACAGCGGCGTGCCGTGCCATCACGCACCATTACGACGCGCAAGCAGCGGCCTCGCTCTCATCAGCTGACCCACCACGCCTCGCCTTGTTGCCATCGCCGCTGCCCAAAGTCCGAAGAGAACCCGGCAGCGTTTTGCCTTCTACCTCTTCTCTTCCGCTGGCTTCCACAGACGTCCATCGACATGATCGTCGCGATCACGCCGTGCGGGTGCTGGACACGACACGGGGCCGATCGATCGGCCGGTTTCGCTGGCTCCGGCGTCGTCGAGCGCCGGGGATTTGGGTTGGAACTGAGCGGAGACGTCGTTTGGTGCATATGCATGCACGTGACAGGGATGAAGGAGGCCGCCGCTGGCAGGCTCTGAGCCTCGCGGCTCGCGTGCGGTGCGTGCTCCTGTCGCCACCTAGACAGTGATCGATCGTGATCTCTCCTTACACATGCATGCATATCCCCAGATGCTTGGTAGGACTGGTACTATCAGTGTATTAAACCTGAGGATGGTTTGAAAACCGCACCATACCTCAACTGAACCCACACGAAAATTTCTGTCAACCCAACCACAACTAAACCCGTTTAGAAAATTATCAACCCAGCTAAAACCAAACCCACCCGATCTTTCCAGTTTCCACCAAACTGAACTAAACCGAGTGCCCATCTATGGGTTAAAACCATTTTCTAAAGTGGGTTGAAAACTGTTTGCTCTAATGGTTCAACACATCAGCTTGCAAGGTACGCCGGGGAACGGTGGGTTCATCCAGGCGCCGGGGAAACCGACCAACCAGTCCAAGTCTGGCGGCCTCCGTGACCTCTGCAGGGACGCCGTCGTTCAAGAGGAGGAGCCGTAACTCCATTCGCCGAGAGCGACGTAGAAGCCTTCCAGTGGCTCCGGCCCCGCGCCGAACCTGGCAGCCGACAGGTCCCAGAAGATGTCGACCTTGCCGACGTCGACGTCGATGCTCTTGGAGCCCTTCTTCTTGGAGAAGAGCCATGGCTTGATGTCCGCCTTGTAGAGGCTCTGACGCCGATGCTGAGGCCCTGCCTCATGAGACTCTTGCTCCAGGTGACCGAGATGACGCGGGGCCAGCCGACGAACTGCGTCCGGTAAAGGCAAGTGACCAGGTTCTGCGCAGCGCCCTTGCCAGCACTGCCCGAGGATGACGCCCTGTCCGCGATCTGGATGTGAAGTCCCTCATGGCTCGCTCGTGCTTTGCTTTTCAGCAAACACCTTGCGCGCAACCCGGCACCAACCATATCCGCTGTTACGGGCAGCTGTGGAGCAAACAGGCCTAAACAGTTCTCACAACCTGGGTATGACCCACGGGTTAAACTGTTTGGAATCGGAACTGTTTGAACCCATACCTGATTATACTCAACTATTTGATACACAAAACCGAATTAAACTGAACCAATGTCAGAGTCAGCCCGCTAACACCCAAACTACACATACCCACATAGAGAAAACGACCCAACAAACCCGGTTATAGCAAAACCATTCTCAGATTTAAGTGTATCGTGTTTTAATACTCTATCGAAACGGATTACGGAATCGTAATCCTATTGTTTAGGGCACACGCACGGCATCTCTGATACGCTACGCTACTTGCGTTCCAGCTTTCTCAACGAAAAAGATGTTGTGTTCCCGTCCCAGAAACAGAATCAAAGTAGCACGGCGAGCTCGGTGGCAGATCTTCAAGACCGGGACTTCTTTTGAGACGCTCCCATAATCGCTCAATCAATTACTGGTGCTGATGCAGGGAGGGTGGTACACAAGATATTATTATTATTTTTGCCGGGAAAAAGAATATTATCGTCAGTGGTGTCCCAAACAACAGGAGCTCACACGCAAAGCTCGTAGCGTTGAGGTGTCCGGTTTTTCTAGCGGGATTGCTAAATCTCATTCAATTGAGGTTTAGCGAAGTCTCCCTTGTGAGATCTTACATGGGGATGCATGTAAAAAAAATATTTTTTCCTTTTTAAATAGATGATTTGCAATACGATAATTGATTGCGGTGCTGGTGCACGCATATATAATACAAGAGAAGGCATCTACCTCAACTATACAAGACTAGGAGGTGAACCACAGCTTCACTATACATGCAGTACAAAATACATATTCAACACCCCCGCAATCGAAGCGTCGCCGGAGACACAGAGACTGGACCGAAACTCCTCGGAGACGGGAGTAGGCAATCCCTTAGTCATCACATCAGCAAACTGTTGTGACGTCGGCACGTGGAGAACCCGAACACGGCCAAGGGCAACCTGCTCGCGCACGAAGTGAATATCGAGTTCAATATGCTTCGTCCGTCGATGGTGCACCGGGTTGGCGGAGAGGTAGACCGCGCTGACGTTATCGCAGTAGACAAGAGTGGCCTTGTGAACATCACAAAGCAACTCCTGGAGCAGCTGACGTATCCAAGAGCACTCGGCCACAACATTAGCCACGACGCGATACTCTGCCTCGGCACTGGAGCGGGAGACCGTGGGCTGCCGCTTTGAAGACCAAGAGATCGACGAGGGCCCAAGGTAGACGCAGTAGCCTGACGTAGAGCGTCGCGTGTCGGGGCAGCCAGCCCAATCGGCATCCAAGTAGGCCACGAGGTCGGTGGAGGCGGAGGCCGTCAGGGTGAGTCCCAAAGACATGGTGCCGCGTATGTAACGGAGAATATGCTTCACCAGAGTCCAGTGAGAGTCACGTGGGGCGTGCATATGGAGGCACACCTGCTGGACAGTGTAATGCAGGTCGGGGCGAGTCAGCGTCAAGTACTGTAAAGCACCGACAATAGAGCGATAAAATGCTCCATCGGATGCAAGAGACCCTTCGAGAGCAGAGACCTTCGTCTTCGTGTCGACGGGGGTGGGCGCCGGCTTGCAGTTAAGCATACCGGTACGCTCCATGAGCTCGTGGGCGTACTTCTGCTGATGCAGAAAGAAGCCGTCAGTCTGTCGGACCACCTTGATACCGAAGAAGTAGTGCAGGGGCCCCAAATCCTTGAGGACGAACTCATCACGAAGTCGAGCAGTCAGCCGCTGAAGGAGGTCGGGGGCGGACGTCGTGAGGATGATGTCGTCGACGTAGAGAAGCAGATATGCAGTGTCAACTCCCCGATGATACACGAAGTGTGAAGCATCGGAGCGAGTGGATCAAAATCCGAAAGACCACAGGAAGACTGCGATACGCTAGTGCCCAGCGTGGTGGCACACCTCTTGCATCGTCGTCATTCAAGTCTCAAGTCATAAGTCACATGCGCACCCCGCACGCGGATAAATCACTACCTCTAGTATATATATAGATGGCTTGGTCATGGAAGAAGGCATTATGTAGAGAACGAGGAGGCGGTGGTGCCACATATCAAGGAGGCAGTGGTGCCATGGATCAATGAGATGACACAATCCAGACCCTTGCTGACCGGTGAGTATCCCTAGGCATTGAATGACATAATGGTCATGATTCTTAAAAACTGTATTGACCAGAATCAGAAAAATAATGACAAGTTAAAAAAACTTGTCAACTTTTGTCAAACAAACAAACTATAAAAAGCTTTATTACTTCCATCATGCACCAGAAAATGGGCACAAATAAGAGACTTTTCACTCTTCACAAAGCCAGAACCAGTCCAAGCCCCCTCCTCTATGCCTCCATAATCTCTGTCTACGTATGTTCCTTCCATCATGTGGTTTTTAATCTACATATTTTGTACATGTCAAAAACATTTTTCAAATAAAATTTAATTATTTTCTAATACACTAGAAGAATGCCCGTGCGTTGCAACGGGATATAATAAATCTTCTAATACGTTGGCTTGTGATTTACCTGTATATAATAATGTGATTGTGTAAATAAATGATCATCCCATAAATTACCTTATATTTTGATCTGATGTTTGGCAAATA